GGGTCAGGGCTGCTTTCTCTCCCTGTAATCATCATAGAATTGGACGCCTGTGGTCTGCACTGTCATCCTCGCGGGCTTGTAAATGTGATAACTCACTCTATGACTCTTTCCCTTTTATTATAGTAACTTGTAACAATTATTTTTCTTTTGTTGCTTGTGCTTTTGTGTCATAGTGAACTCTGACCAGAATGGCTTTCAGTGTGGAGATCACATGGGTTGTGCTGACATCGTCACCATGTTATGTTCCTGCCCATGAGGGTAGAAGTTTTCCTTCCTTTAGGCTTTACTTACTTTTGTTTTTTCAAGAAATCATTTCCACTGATGTAACATTAGTCAGCTACACTATAGGTTTTAGGGCTATAGGGTCAGCCCTGCTGAGATGATGTCACCACATCAGTGCACCCTCAGAGCCCCGGTGAACGTCCATCACCATCCCTTTGTGCCTGACTCCGTGCCCCTCACTCTCCCTCTGGGCCCTGGAGCCTCACTTCTGCAGTCAGCTTTCAGGGGTTTGCTGTGGTTGGACTCAAATCTCCAGTGGCCTCTGTACAATATGTGGTTTCTGGGGGAGCCCTGAGGGCCCGGGGCCCCATGGTCTGGGGACCGTGGTGCAGCGTCCACAGTCCTGGGAGCCGAGTCCTGCAGCACAGGGGAGAGGGCAGTGGCACCGGGGCCTGAGCTCAGGAGTGTGAGGGGGAGCCAGACCTGCATCTCCTCGCTGCCCTTCCGCTGTACCTGCTAGCCCAGGGGACCCCACCCAGAGCCCAGGGGATGCCGGGAGGGTGCCTGGTGGGTCTCCCTGTCCTCCTGGGCTCCTACCAGCACAGAGTTTCTGCACCTGTCCTTTTGCTCAGGGCACCTGTCTGTCCTGGGTGGGCAGGGCAACCTCTGCAGCCCCAAAGCACAGGACTTGGGGAGACTCAGGCCCAATTTCACAGCCTGTTAGGAACCAAATAAAGAGTGATGAAGATGAGGCTCAGGGCTGTTTTCACAAACCTTCCAGGTGATTCCTGAGTGATGAAGTTGAAAGTCCCTGAGCTAGAGTCAGAACTCCTTGCCTGCTTGAGGGTGAGGAGGCCAGGCCTCCCCCTGGGTGGAGGGACCCCTGAGGGCCACTAAAGGGAGATGTGTCCTCTCAACCGTGGCCACCAGGGGACAGTTGTTATCCCTGGACAGCTACCCAAGGCCAAGGAGCCAGCCCAGGAGCCTCTGAGCCAGCTCTGGAAAGAGCTGTCAGGTAGGACAAGGGGCCCTGCCATGGAACATGCTGGAATGCACGGCAGTGTTAGTTTAGGATTTAGCTCATCACTGGGAATTTACCTATTTGCTGCCAGTCCTACATTCCTGCCCCTGTGCACATAAATTTGAGGTATGTTTTACGTAAATATCTCATAGTTTTACTTCATGACTTTCTGCTCCTATCTGTAATAGCTCATCTTTCCTTGTTTGTCTCTCTTGTTGTCTTTCTTGCTTTTTAAGGTAGAATTTAGGGCACTGATTTTAACCTTTTTTCATAAAAGCATTGGTGTCTATAAGTTTCTCTCTCAAATAAATATGCATTTTGACGAGGGCTTTTTCCTGTGCTTCGCTTCAGCCTGATTTCTCATTTCCCCTTTATCCGTCATTTCTTTAGAGTGTGTTTAACTGATGAATATTTCATGTTTGCTGTTTTCTTGTGTTGTGTGTGTCTTTGGGGTTCTCATCTGGACCTCCCAGAGAAATCCTTAGGGTAAGAGAATGGTCCGGCTTCTATGTCCTTGGCCTCTGTGGCTGCCCCCTGCGGCCCTGAACGCGGAGGCGCTTGGGCGCGAGGCCACAGGCGCGCGTGCCTGATGGTGGCACCTGGAGTGGGGTGTGGGCACGTGCAAGTGGGCGCACCTGAGCCAGAGGTCAGGGCTATAAGGGCACGTTCCTCAGCCATGACGGCCTCTGATAGACATGCGTCGGCTGTAGAGGAAGAGGCTACAGGAGAGGCCAGAGAAAGCCCAGAGGAAAGAGCATGTGAAGATTCTCAGGGGACCCAAGGGCTGTCTCCCTGCTGGCTTGTTTCCCCTGCGCACTGTTAATAAGCCTGTGGGGTGATGCCAAGGGCCCAAGTTTCTCTGTGAAGCTGCCTGTAGCGATGGTGACCTTCCCTGGCGTGGGATGGTTGCAGAACACACTCCCTTTTCAGATCCCGTGCTGTCGCCCAACCAGCTTTGGGGTTCCTTGAGGATTGTAAGTCCAACACGTCTGGGTCCCACCAGGAACTTTGTTACTTCACCCTAGCGGTGTTTTTATGAGAGGATTTAATCCTAGCGTCCCTTTGCTGCAATGATGGTGACATCATCTGGTTCAGTTTTGGAACTTAATTTTCTGTTTACTCCTTCAGGTAAGTACAACTCCTTAAATTTGCTTTTCAAAGAAAACTTTTGGTTCTGGAAAGTGTGAATAGTTCAGGATGGATGTTTTCCTAAGGCCAAGCGCTTCTTCTGTGAAGACCTAGAGGGGATGTGTCACGTGTGGCTTTGCGGGATTCCTGAAACCCCACCTGATGGGAGGACCCCAGTGTAGACACAGAGCTGAACCCCACAGGACTTGGGGGTGGCTTGTGTGAGGGAGAGTTTCCTTGCCCTTGACCTTCTCCAACATACTTTTAACACACCAAGGAGCAGTTTCCTACACAGACAGAAACTAAGATTCCTGCAGGCTGGACAAGTGTCCTCTACTCCTGCTAAGGCTCTATGGAGCTGGAATGAAATCATTGAAGCAACAAGGAAGAGTCAGCACTTCCCTGAGGATGGGGGGACTCGGGGAGTCAAGTCCTGGTGTCTGCTCAGCCATATTTAGAGCAAGACCAGTTTCAAAGAGACCAGGGCCCGGGGCACCGCTGTGAGGTTGCTTTTGTATGAAGAACACAGGAGATGGGCAGGAGGGGGCATGAGGGGGACAAGGGAGCCAGATGGAGGCTCTTATCTGCCCTTTGCTCACTGCAGGCAGCTCTTTCAAAACCCTTTTGTGCAACTTTCCTGCCCGCCTGTGACTGTGCAGGGGCCTCTCTTTTCTCCTTTCCTGTTCACCCTCTCGTTCTGAAATGTTAAAAAACAAACCCATTTTTCCTTTCACTCTGAGGTGTTACGTTGACTGTGTGAGGAGACAGACTTGGAAATGCCACAGAGTTCCTCGTGTCCACAGGGAGACCTGAAGGCCTTTTTGAGGTTATGGGTCCAGTTTATACATGAGGATGTGTAAAAGCCAGGACAGAATCTCATGTGAGCCTCCTGGGTTTCACTTGCCTCAGGGGGTTTCTTGAGCAGGGAGAGCAGCAGCCTGAAGTCCTGGGCTCTGGGTGCGCATGATGCTGAGTCCTGGGTGCTGAGCTCTGGGTGCCCCAGAAGACCTGGGTGAGGCTCCCTGCAGATGAGTCTTTGATGTGCACCTGCCGCCCCCACGATGGACGAGGACCTCAGGGGTCCACAGCTAGTTGCTTTCCCCCCAGGGTTTGCTGAGGCTGATGGGTGACAGTGAGCCAGACAGTTGCCCTTTTCCCTGGTGCTGGGTGACCAGGGCTGAGCGAGTCCAGGACAGGTTTGAGCATGGCGAGGGGGACCCTCTGGTCAGGCAAGGCCCAGAGGGGCTGGGCGGGACTTGAGTTTCCCAGACAAGGTAAAAGGAGCTCCATGGCAGTCCCACCCTCCCGGACTGCAGCACCATGGCCTTGCACTGGCTTCTCCTCTGCTTCACCCTCGTCGGGACCTCACCTGGTGAGTATTAGGATCCGAGGGAATTGCCTGGACAGGGAGGAAGCTGGAGAGGACTCTGAGCCCCCCGTCTCTTTCTGGAGCACTGAGGTGTTTATTGGAGTGAGCCCTATGGTTCAGCCAAGAGGTGCTTTAAGCCCCCTCCTGCCCCTTGGCCTCAGCAGACAGTGACCCTGACTTTGCAGGAGGAGAGCGGCCATTCTGGCTCTCTGAGACCTCACGGAGGCGCCAGGTGTAGAACAGAATCTTCTGGGTCTCAGAGGATTGAGCCCAGAAAGTGGTTCAGTTTGGCCCATTGATCAACAAGGGGGAGATCATGAGATACCTTAAGATGGCTCTGTGGATTTCATTTAGTGCTGGGAACTCAATCAATGGTTGGTTAAAATGGAACTACAAACAAACGAACAATCAAAAACAGAATTAGCACCATGTCCTGTATCTGTGCTCGGGAGTTTGAAATGTTACCTTTGTGATTGTCCTTTAGGGATTTCTCTGACACCCACACTGGGCTCAGCAGCTCCCTGCTCCCCTCTCTCCTGGGAAGGGGCCTCTGCTGAGCCCCTGCCTGTCACTTCTGTGCAGCTTCACACCCTCACTCCCTGTTTATAACCAGAACCAGGGCTCAGTGGGGGAAGCTCCTCCCTGTATTTCCTGCCTGTCCCTGTCAAACCTGCTGGCCCCACGCCTGAGAGATTTCAGGCTTCTCCAGCACAGGGGACCCGGCCCCCCCACTCCATTGCTATGAAGCCTCTGCAGGGTGAGGGCCTCACAGCTCCTGTTATAAGAAGACATAGGCAACGACATGTTTTGAGACACCAGCTTGAGGGAGTGGCCGGACCATGTCCCTGTCCCCAGACAGGTCAGAAGCTGCCTACAGCAAGGACTGAGGGATTCTGGGGTGTCCTGGCTGGTGGGAGGGACTGACCCTGCCCCCCTTTCTTCCTGTGGCCAAGTTCTCACACCCCTGGGAGCTGCTGAGGATCCTGACACAGGAAATGTGTCCTGCATCTGTCAGGGACCCTGAGTGTCCTCCTTGTTCTGGACAATCTCGTCTTCTGTTTTCTCTTTCCTCGACATAGCTTTTATGGTTGGGAGTGAAATCCTTCTTTTTAAATAATTAATGATGTCAGAGACGAAGGGTTTAGAATGTCTGGTAGCGTCTAGCCCTGGAAATGAGTTCATGTGACTTCCCTAAGCAAGTGTCCGAGGGCCCATGACTGGAGTTCTCTGTCTTCATTTCTCCACCTCTGGCCCACGCCGTCTCCTGGGGAGCATTGACTATGAGGGTAGCAGTGTTTGTTCCCCATTTCTTTTTTTTTTTTAATTTTTTTTTCTTTAAGATTTATTTATTTATTTATCTATACAAGCACTGGGTATAGTCAGAAGCGTGGGAGGGTGAGAGAATTCACCAGAGCCAGAGCGGGGAGCAGAGCAGGCAGAAGGACCGAAGTACACTGCTGAGGGGAGCAGCAGGCGGCAGGAGAGGTCTGCGCGCCATGTGGGACCCTCCTCCAGTGGCCGGGGAGCAGCCGGGGATCGAACCAGCACTGCAGAGGCTGCGGGCAGCTTCGCAACCCAGCGCTCAACCGCTGCGCCACCGGGGAGGCCCAGTTCCCCATTTCTTGAGATGAATGAGCCTGGGAGAGTCAGAGGTAGCTGAGGTCTCCAGCCAGGATGTGGGGGGCAGGGAAGGCTGAACCCTCAGCCTGTGTCTGCGCCTTTGGGCAGAGTGACCCAGATGGAGCATCATCATCCCTGGCAGGTGTTGGGCAGCAGCCAAGGGTGTGTGTCTTCCAGTCTGGATGCAGGGGTGCCAGGAGTGGGGAGTGTGGTGTGGTACTGTTCTGGCTGAAGGCCAACCAGTTTCTGCTGACTGACTAGACCTCCACCTTCCCACCCTCCCGCTGTCACCCCCAGGCTCTGGATCCCCTGCCAGCGAACCAGAGCTGAGCTTTGTTCCCAGGATCATCAATAGGACAGACACTCTTCCTGGATCCTTGCCCTGGCTTGTGACTGTGATGGTGAGGGGAGTGTGCCCCTGAACGGGGCATCCCTGCCCCTGAGGTGGTGGGGCTGCTTCTCTGTGGGTGTGACTGGTGTCATGTGACTTTTACTGACCTTCTCTCTCTAGACTGTCAGTAGGATCCAGTTATGTTGGGGCGCCCTGGTCAACGAGAGCTGGGTGATCACCGCCGCCCACTGCAATGTCACGTGAGGCCCAGGATGGTTGTAGGGACACGGGAGGGGAGTGGTCAACTCCTTAATCCTTACCCACCTGCTTCCTCTAGGACATCTGACTGGGTTGTGGCTGGGCTGTATGACCCTTCCTCAGGTAGGAAAGACATCCAGATCCTGAAGGTTGCCCAGGTAAGCCAGACCCTGCTGGACCTCCCTGGAGGCTGTGATGAGGCTTTGGGGGGCAGGATGAGAGGGGGAGACCCTTCGCTGCAGAGACAGGAGCTGGCAAATTGGTCTCACTTCTTCACGTGACCCACTGATACTTATTTGCTGAAAGGCTACCCTGATTTCACTTCTCTCATGTTCTCCTGCTGGTTCTCACTCAGGTTATTCTCCACCCCCAACTGAATCTGAGTGCTACTGACAATGACGTCGCTCTGCTGAAGCTGGCAAGGCCTGCCCGCTTATCCACGCCAGTGTACCCAGCATCCCTGCCCACAGCTTCTGACCACTTCCGCCCTGGGCACCTGTGCCTCACACTGGGCTTCATGTTTCCCCAGCCTTATGGTGAGACTCGACATAGCGCTCAGGACATGGTCTTGTGTCAGGCCACTGAAGAGTGGGAAGGACCCTCAGGGCTCAGCTTCGTTTTGTCCAAATGTGAGCAGGGCCATCAATGTGGCAGCTCCTTGATCTCTTAATGAAAACCTTGATCTCTTAATGAAAACCTTGATCTCTTAATGAAAACACGGAGTCCATGATTCCTTGGAGTGTGAGTTTCTGCAGACCCAGCTGTGTGCCATGCCTGGTGCCCTCCATGCCTAAGGTTTTTGCTTCCAGCTACCTATTAAATTTTCCTGGGGGTCAGGTCCAAGGCACATTGAGCCTCTGAGTCTCCAGGCTGGTGTCCCCTCCCCTGATGGTCTCCACCAGCATCCTGAGTCCTTCTCCCCAGGCCAGGGCTACCCGGCTGGTCCTTCCCCAGAACAGCAATCCCAGAAAGATGTTGCAGGGGAGGGAACCCTCCATCACTACACGAGTGTTGTCTCCAGTCAGAGGGATGTCAGTCCCTACCCTGGGAGAAAGGCTCTGCCCCTGTGTTCCCCCACCTGGGCTGGTAGAACTCAGGCCACACCAGGCTGGGCAGCCAGGGCTTGTTTCATTAACTGTGCTGGATCAAATTCATCCCAGGCTGGGGTAGAATCACAAAGACTGTGGCCACTAGATTTCCAGATCTCATGGGATAGAGTATCTTGTTCTATACCCTGATGTTAGAATAGGAAGGTGGGCTCCTGCAATGGCTGTATCTTGGCCTGTGCCCTCAGCATGGGCTGGGGGAAATAAGGTCCTGATTGTCCTTGGCCCCTCTCTCTGCACAGCCAGCAAGCACCCCAAGGAACTGCAGGAGGCTATGATGACCATCCTGACGAACATCAATTGCAGGAAATACGGGGGCACAATAAACACCGATGCCAACATCTGTGCTGGGACAAATGGCGTCTCCTGCTGGGAAGTACGTGTTGCTCTAACTCAGCCCCTCACTGTTGTCCCAGTCAGGCAGCAGCAACATGCCTTGCCTCAGAAACCACTGCTCTGTGGTCTGATTCCTGCCCTGGCTGTCAGGACCAGCACTCACAAAGGCCTGCAGAGGACTTGCTCCTCCAGGCATGGGGTGCTCCAGTCATGGTGTGTTTTCATGGAGTTACTCTCACGGCCTCATCCTGGGCTACTCCTCTCCAGCTGATCCTTAACCCACAGTCCCGCACCCCTGTCCGCACCCCAGCAGGAGGCAGAGCTGGGCTGCCATTCGAAGTGGCCCTTCCAGCTGAATACAGAGTCCACTGGACCCAGGGCTGGGTCAGTTCTAGTACCGAGAGTTGTCACACACTTGTCCATACTGCAACGTGTCTCTTTCCCTCCCACAGGTCGACTTTGGAGCCCCCTTGGTCTGTAGGAAGAAGAAAGTCTGGACCCTGGCGGGGGTCAAGTCATTTATGAGTGAAACCTGCCCCACCCTTAAACCTCTGGTGTTCACCCGGATCACCAAGATTGTACCATGGATTCAGGAGACCATGGCCAACAACTGAGCCCTGATCCTCCCCTTCCTTTGCTCTTTATCCCCAATAAAAGCCTCTGTACAGAAGCCCTGACTGTGTGATTGTGACCTGGGGAGGTGGCTGCAGTGTCCCTGTCACCCACCAGGGGGCGGCATGACCCTCCCTTTCCAGGCTGCAGAGCCCCAGCAGCCCCTGTTGCTCAGGGAGCTGAGGTCTTTGGGTCTGGTCCTCCCTGCTCAGGAGGCCCCTGGGGTGGAGTCCAGGACCAGCTTCTGCAGCCTCATTTCTCAGCCTGGTTTCTTCCTGTTGGGCAAGTGAACTTGGCCCAAGAAGTTTTGTGGAAGGCAGGAGTGCTCCAGGCCAGGCCATGCGGTCCTCCTCCAAGCAGGGTGGGCCCTGGGATCAAGAGGGCCACCCAGGCAGGCCTGTCCTTCCCCACATGCTCTTTCTCTGCCCAGCAGCTTTCTCTGCCTTGAGCCTCCGGCACACCCCACCCCAGACCATCCATGCAGTCCCCACCCTTCCTGCTTCTGCCCAGGTCCTGCTCACTCACTCTGAACTGTGCAACTGGGAGCTTCCTTCCAGGGTTACTGGGGGGCACCCTGTTCTCTCAGGTCCCTTTCTGTCCATTTTTCTTTGATCTGGCAGCTGAATCTGAGACTTGGTCAGACTCATGTAGTCCCACAGCCGGGCTGCAGGGGCTGGGCTCCTGCATGGAGGGGTCAGGGCTGCTTTATGTGACATCAGGCTCTGATGTCTGCGGGCTGGAACGTCATCCTTGTTGGGCTTATAATGTGGTAACTCACTCAGTGACTCCCTCCCTTTTATTACCAGTAACTTGTAACAATTATTTTTCTTTTGTTGCTTGTGCTTTTGTGTCATAGTGAACTCTGACCAGAATTGCTTCAGTGTGGAGATCACATGGGTTGTGCTGACATTGTCACCATGTTACGTCCCTGCCCGTGAGGGTGGAAGTTTTCCTTCTTTGCTTTTGTTTTTTCAAGAAATCATTTCCACTGATGTAACATTAGTCAGCTACACTATAGGTTTTAGGGCTATAGGGTCAGCCCTGCTGATATGAATGTCACCACATCAGTGCACCCTCAGAGCCCCGGTGACCGTCCATCACCATCCATTTGTGCCTGATCCCGTGCCCCTCACTCTTCTTCTGGGCCCTGGAGCCTCACTTCTGAAGTCAGTGGTTTCTGGGGGAGCCCCGAGGGCCCAGGGTCCCCATGGTCTGGGCTGTGTGTGCAGCATCCACAGTCCTGGGAGCCGAGTCCTGCAGCACAGGAGAGAGGCCAGAGGCACCTGGGCATGAGCTCAGGAGTGTGAGGGGGAGCCAGACCCGCAGCCCCTCAATGCCCTCCCCCTGCCCCTGCTCAGCCCAGGGGACCCCACCCAGAGGCCCTGGAGAGGCTCGGGAGGGAGCCTGGTTGGTCTCCCTGTCCTCCCGGGCTTCTGCTGGCACACGGTTTTTGCACCTGTCCTGTGGCCTTGGTCACCTGTCTGTCCTGGGGGGGCAGGGCAGTCTCTACTGCCCCAAGGGTCAGGAGCTGAGGAGACCCCAGCCAAAATCCACAGCCAGATAGGAGCCCGTTAAGGAGCGATGAAGATGAGGCTCAGGGCTGTTTCCATTAACCTCAGGTGATTCCTGTGAGTGATCACGTTGAAAGTCCTTGAGCTGGAGTCAGAACTCCTTGCCTGCTTGAGGGTGAGGAGGCCAGGCCTCCCCCTGGGTGGAGGGACCCCTGAGGGCCACTAAAGGGAGATGTGTCCTCTCAACTGTGGCCATCAGGGGCCAGTGCTATCTCTGGACAGCTACCCAAGGCCAAGGAGCCAGCCCAGGAGCCTGAGTCGGGGCTGGAAAGAGCTGTCAGGTAGGACAAGGGACCCTGCCATGGAACATTCTGGAAGGCATGGCAGTGTTAGCTTAGGATTTATGTCATCACAGGGAATTAACCCTTTGCTGCCAATCCTACATTTCTGCCCATGTGCAAACACATTTGAGGTGTGTTTTACGTAAATATTTCATAGTTTTTCTTCATTACTTTCTGTTCCTATCTTTAATAGCTCATCTTTCTTTGTTTGTCGCTCTTGTTTTTGTTTTTTTAAACTTTTTTTCTTTTTAAAAATTATTTATTTATTTATACAAGCACTGGGTATAGTCAAAGCGTGGGAAGGTGAGAGAATTCACCAGAGCCAGAGTGGGGAGCAGAACAGGCAGAAGGACCGAAGTACACTGCTGAGGGGAGCAGCGGGCGGCAGGAGGGGTCTGCACATCATGTGGGACCCTCGCCTGGCGGCCGGGATTGAACCCGTGCTGCAGAGGCTGCGGGCAGCTTCACAGCCCAGCACTCAACTGCTGGGCTACTGGGGAGGCCCTGTCTCTCTCGTTTTTTAAGGTAGAATTTAGGGCACTGATTTTAAACTTTTTTCATAAAAGCATTGGTGTCTATAATTTCCCTCTGGAATAAACATCTTCCCATGCTTTTTTTTTTTTTTTTTTTTTTTTTTTTTTGGTGGGACCCTCGCCGGCGGCAGGGGAACAAACCGGCGCTGCAGAGGTCTGTGGGCCTCACAGCCCCGCGCTCAACCACTGTGCCACCAGGGGAGGCCCCCCATGCATTTTGATGGGGTTTTTTCTGTTCTTTTTTTCACCCTGTTTTCTCACTTCCCCTTTATCCATCATTTATTTGTGTGTTTGATGAATATTCCATGTTTGCTGTTTTCTTGTGTTGCATGTGTCTTTTGTGGTTCTCATCGGGACCCCCCAGGAGACCCAAGAGACATCGTTAGGGTAAGTGAATGGTCGGGCTTTTCTGTCCTTGGCCTCTGTGGCTGCCCCCTGCGGCCCTGAACGCGGAGGCGCTTGGGCACAGGGCCACAGGCGCGCGTGCCTGATGGTGGACACCTGGAGTGGGGTGTGGGCATGTGCCAGTGGGCGCACCTAAGCTGGAGGTCAGGGCTATAAGGGCACGTTCCTCAGCCGTGACGGGCTCTGATAGAGGCGTGATGGCTGTAGTGAAAGAGGCTACAGGAGAGGCCAGAGAAAGCCCAAAGCAAAGAGCGTGTGAAGATTCTCAGGGGGCCCAAGGGCTGTCTCCCTGCTGGCTTGTTTCCCCTGCGCACTGTTAATAAGCCTGTGGGGTGATGCCAAGGGGTCCACAGTTCTCTTCACAGCTGTCTGAAGCAATGGTGACCCTACCTGGCCTGGCATGGTAGCAGAACACACCCCCTTTCAGATCGTGTGCTTTTGCTAGATCAGTCCTGGAGGTTCTTGTGAGGATTGTAAGTCGCCTCCAGCACAAGGAGACGTGTTGACAGGAATCTAGACGCACAGAAATTTTATTCCTCACAGGTCCTAAGGGGACAGGGCAGGCCTGGGACCACATAGTGAGGGGTATGTTTTGGGGGAGAGAGCGAGGTGCTCTACAGTTTGCTTTTTTTTCCTGGTGAAAGTCATGGCTCTATTGGTGGGACTCACTTTTTTCAGGAATTTAAAACATAGGGGCAGATCCATGTGCAAGGGTGTAACATAATTGCATAAACTGTGTTTTCCTGTCTCCAGGATCCAGACTATGAAGGTAACGGGTGATGGAGGCCGGGATCGCCAAGTCCTGGCTCTGGGGGTGATGATTCTCCATCTGTTTCTGTGAAGCACATGCCTGGACAATCAGCTGAAATCAGGCCCTTGGGTGAGAATTAATATACCCAATGTCAGGGCTTACCCTGCTCTAGTCTAGATGCAGGGGTGCCAGGAGGGGGAGTGTGGGCATGATGCTGTGCTGCTAAAGTTCAACCAGGTTTCTGCAGACTGACTAGTCCTTCACCCTCTGACCCTCCCCCCTTGTCACCCCCGGGCGCTGGAGCCCCTGACAGCGAACCAGAGATGAGCTTTGTTCCCAGAATCATCAATAGGACAGACACTGTTCCTGGATCCTTGCTCTGGCTAGTGACTGTGATGGTGAGGGGAGTGTGCCCCTGAGTGGGGCATCCCTGCCCCTGAGGTGGTGGGGCTGCTTCTCTGTGGGTGTGACTGGTGTCATGTGACTTTTACTGACCTTCTCTCTCCAGACTGTCAGTAGGATCCAGTTATGTTGGGGCGCCCTGGTCAACGAGAGCTGGGTGATCACCGCCGCCCACTGCAATGTCACGTGAGGCCCAGGATGGTTGTAGGGACACGGGAGGGGAGTGGTCAACTCCTTAATCCTTACCCACCTGCTTCCTCTAGGACATCTGACTGGGTTGGGGCTGGGCTGTATGACCCTTCCTCAGGTAGGAAAGACATCCAGATCCTGAAGGTTGCTCAGGTAAGCCAGACCCTGCTGGACCTCCCTGGAGGCTGTGATGAGGCTTTGGGGGGCAGGATCAGAGGGCGAGACCCTTAGCTGCAGAGACAGAGCTGGCAAATTGGTCTCACTTCTTCACTTGGTCCACAGATAAATATCCCCTGAAGGGTCACCCGTATTTCATTTCTCATGTTCTCCTGCTGGTTTTCACTCAGGTTTTTCTACATCCCCAACTCAATCTGAGTGCTACTGGCAATGACATCGCTCTGCTGAAGCTGGCAAGGCCTGCCCACTTATCCACGCCAGTGTACCCAGCATCCCTGCCCACAGCTTCTGACCCCTTCTGTTCTGGGCGCCTGTGCATCACCATGGGCTTTGCAGTAACGCACTCTAACAGTGAGTCTGGACTTAAGCTCAGGACATGGTCTAATGTCGGGCAATCAGAAGAGTAGGAAGGACCCACAGGACTCAGCTTTTGTTTTCTCCAAATGTGAGCAGGGCCATAAATGTGTCAGCTCCTTGATCCCACCCTCTTAAAGAAAACCTAGCAAACGTGCATGGACACGGGGTCCATTATTCCTTGGACTGTGATTTTCTGCAGACATAGCTGTGCACCATGCCTGGTGCCCTTCATGCCTAAGGTTTTTGCTTCCAGCCTCCTATTAATTTTCCCTGGGGTCAGGTCCAGGGCACATTGGGCCTCTGAGTCTCTAGCCTGGGGTCCCATCTCCCGGCTGGCCCTGCCTGATGGTCTCCTCCAGCATCCTAAGTCTTTCTGCCCTGGCCAGGGCTACCCGGCTGGTCCTTCCCCAGAACAGTAATCCCTGTAAGATGTTGCAGGGATAGGAACCCTCCATCACCGCATGAGTGGGGTCTCCAGTCAGAGGGATGTCAGTCCCTTCCCTGGGGAAGAAGGCGCTGCCCCATGTGTTCTCCTACCTAGGCTGGCAGGACCCAGACCACGCCAGGCTGGGCAGCCAGGGCTTGTTTCATCAACTGTGCTGGATCAAAGTCAGCCCAGGCTGGGGTAGAATCACAAGGACTGTGGCCCTTTGAGGTTCCAGATCTCATGGGGTAGAGTTTCTCATCAGGGTAGAGTGTCCTATACCCTGATGCTTGTATAAGAAGGTGGGTACCAGTAATGGCTGTATCTTGGCCTGTGCCCTCAGCATGGGCTGGGAGAAATAGGTCCTGATTGTCCTTGGCCCCTCTCTCTGCACAGCCAGCAAGGACCCCAAGGAACTGCCGCAGGCTGTGGTGCCCGTCCTGACCAACACTGATTGCAGGAAATAAGGAGGCACGATAAACACTGATGCCAACATCTGTGCTGGGGCCAATTTTTTCTCCTGCTGGGAAGGACGTGTTGCTCTAACCCAGCCCCTCACTGCTGCCCCCAGTCAGATGGCAGGAACATGCCTTGCCTCAGATACCACTGCCCCGTGGCTTGATTCCAGCCCTGGGAGCCAGGACCAGCACTCACAGAGGCCAGCAGAGCACTTGCTCCTCCAGGCATGGGGTGCTCCATGGGAGTTACTCTCACGGCCTCATCCTGGGCTACACCTCTCCAGCTGATCCTTAACCCACAGTCCTGCTCCCCTGTCCACACGCCAGCAGGAGGCTGAGCTGGGCTGCCATTTGAGTGGCCCTTCCGAGCTGATACAGAGCCCACTGGACCCAGGGCTGGGTCAGTTCCAGTACCAAGAGTTGTCGCACACGTGTCCGTACTGCAACGTGTCTTTTTCCCTCTCACAGGTTGACTCTGGAGCCCCCTTAGTCTGCAGGAAGAAAAAAAGTCTGGTACTTGATGGGGGTCATGTCATTTATGAGTGAAACCTGCCCCACCCTTAAACCTCTGGTGTTCACCAGGGTCACTAAGAGTGTATTGTGGATTCAGGAGACCATGGCCAACAACTGAGCCCTGATCCTCCCCTTCCTTTGCTCTTTATCCCCAATAAAAGCCTCTGCACAGAAGCCCTGACTGTGTGATTGTGACCTGGGGGAGGTGGCTGCGAGTGTCCCTGTCACCACCAGGGGTTGGTGTGACCCTGACTTTTCCAGGCTGCAGAGCCCCAGCAGCCCCTGTTGCTCAGGGAGCTGAGGCCTTTGGGTCTGGTCCTCCCTGCTCAGGAGGCCCCTGGGGTAGAGTTCAGGAGCACCTTCCACAGCCTCACATCTCAGCCTGGTTTCTTCTTTTTGGGCAAGTGGGGTTGGCCCAGGGAGCATTGTGGAGGGCAGGAGTGCTCCAGGCCAGGCCATGCGGTCCTCTTCCCAGCAGGGTGGGCCCTGGGACCAAGAGGGCCACCCAGGCAGGCTTGTCCCTCCCCACATGCTCCAGGCACCTTCCTCTGCCTGGAGCCCCCTGCACACCCCACCCCAGACCATCCATGCAGTCTCCACCCTCCCTGCCTCTGCCCAGGTCCAGCTCACTCACTATCAACTGAGTAGCTGGAAAGCTTCCTCCCAGCATAACTGGCAGACACTGTGTTCTCTCAGGTCCCTCTGTGCCCATTATTTTCCTTCGAGTTGGCAGCTGAAACTGAGACTTGGTCAGACTCATGTCAGTCCCACAGCCAGGCTGCAGGGGGCTGAGCTCCTGCATGGAGGGGTCAGGGCTGCTTTCTCTCCCTGTGAGCATCAGACTTTGATGCCTGAGGGCTGGACCGTCATTCTAGTTGGGCTTGTAAATGTGGTAACTCGCTCAATGTCTCCTTTCGTTTTATTACCAGTAACTTGTAACAATTATTTTTCTTTTGTTTCCTGTGCTTTTGTGTCATATTGAATCGCTTTCAGTGTGGAGATCACATGGGTTGTGCTGACATCGTCACCATGTTATGTTCCTGCCCATGAGGGTAGAAGTTTTCCTTCCTTTAGGCTTTACTTACTTTTGTTTTTTCAAGAAATTATTTCCACTGATGTAACATTAGTCAGCTACACTATAGGTTTGAGGCTATAGGTTCAGCCCTGCTGAGATGATGTCACCACATCAGTGCACCCTCAGAGCCCTGGTGTCCGTCCATCACTGTCCATTTGTGCCTGACCCCGTGCCCCTCACTCTTCCTCTGGCCCCGAAGCCTCACTTCTGCAGTCAGCTTTCAGGGGTTTGCTGTGGTTGACCTCAAATCTCTGTGTCCAGTGGCCTCTGTACAACGTGTGGTTTCTAGGAGCTCTGAGGGCCCAGGGTCCCCATGGGCTGGGTGTGTGTGCAGCATCCGCAGTCCTGGGAGCCGCGTTGCAGCACAGGGGAGAGGCCAGTGGCACCAGGGCCTGAGCTCAGGAGTGTGAGGGGTAGCCAGACCTGCAGCTCCTCACTGTCCTCCCCCTGCACCTGCTCAGCCCGGGGTACCCCATCCAGAGTCCCAAGGAAGGGTGAGGGGCCAGGTGGGTCTCCCTGTCCTCCTGGGCAACAGCAAAGAGTTTCTGCACTTTCCTGTTACCCAGGTCACCTGTCCTGGGAGGGCAAGGCAGCCTCTACTGTCCCAAAGCATAGGAGCTGAGGAGAAACCTGTACAATTCCATAGCCCATTAGGAACCCATTAAGGAGCGATGAAGATGAAGCTCAGAGTTGTTTTTGCAAACCTTCTAGGTGATTCCTGTGGGTGATCACATTGAAAGTCCCTGAGCTAGAGTCAGAACTCCTTGCCTGCTTGAGGGTGAGGAGGCCAGGCCTGCCCCAGGGTGTAGGGACCCCTGAGGGCCACTAAAGGGAGATGTGTCCTCTCAACCGTGGCCACCAGGGGACAGTTGTTATCCCTGGACAGTTACCCAAGGCCAAGGAGCCAGCCCAGGAGCCTCTGAGTCAGCTCTGGAAAGAGCTGTCAGGTAGGACAAGGGGCCCTGCCATGGAACATGCTGGAATGCACGGTAGTGCTAGTTTAGGACTTAGGTCATCGCTGGGAATTTACCTATTTGCTGTCAGTCCTACATTCTTGGCCCTGTGCAAAACATTTGAGGTGTTTTTTGTGTAACTATTTCGTAGTTCTCTTCATGACTTTTTGCTCCTATCTTTAATAACTCATCTTCTCCTGCTGGTCTCTCTTGTTGTCTTTCTTGCTTTTTAACGGTGAAATCATGGCACTGATTTTAAGCCTTTTCATTGAAACATTGTTTTTGTTGTTTTCCTTCTTGAATAAACGTCTTCCCCAATATTTTGACGGGGGTGTTTTCATAGCTTCACTTCAGCCTGTTTTCTCATTTTCCCTTTATCCATCATTTATTTAGATGAATAAATGATGTTTAACTGATGAATATTTCATGTTTGCTGTTTTCTTGTGTTGTGTGTGTCTTTTGGGGTTCTCATCTGGACTTCCCAGGAGCCCCCAGAGACAGCCTTAGGGTAAGTGAATGGTCGGGCTTTTCTGCTGTTGGCCTCTGTGGCTGCCCCCTGCGGCCCTGAATGCAGAGGCGCTTGGGAGCGGGGCCATGGGCGCAGGTGAGGTTGCTTTTGTATGAAGAACACAGGAGATGGGCAGGAGGGGGCATGAGGGGGTCAAGGGAGGCAGATGGAGGCTCTTGTCTGCCCTTTGCTTACCGCAGGCAGCTCTTTCAAAACCCCTTTTGTGCAACTTTCCTGCCCGCCTGTGACTGTGCAGGGGCCTCTCTTTTCTTCTTTCCTGTTCACCCTGTCATTTGGAAATGTTTAAAAACAAACCCATTTTTCTTTCAATCTGAGGTTTTACTTTTAGCATGTAAGGAGCCAGAACTCAGAAACGCCAGAGTTCCTCACATCCACAATAAGACTCAAGAAAATCTTTGCGCTTATGGGTGCAGTTTATAGATGAGGATTTGCAAAAGCCAAGCCATCATCTCATGTGATTTTAAGTATGTTTCTGTACTTATACATTTAAAACTCCCTTGGCCGGGCAAGATTTCTCTACAGTTTTTCATTATTTTTTCATGAATTACATTTATTTTCTTAATAAAGTTTGATGAGATCTTTGAATTTTTCTAACTTCAGAAGTTGTGCAATTGAATCAAAATTTCCCCAAGTAGCCACACTCACAGCAAACCCCAAATCCAGGAGGGGCCAGGCACCAGGATGATGCCCGGAGTAGCCGGGCCCCACACTCCTGAACGTGGGGCTGTGGGGGCAGTGGGGTGACAGGTATTGGAAGTGGAATGAGGAGGGGGTGAGACACTTGAAGGGGAGACTTGGGGGAGACGGTGGAGGGAGACGCAGAAGCGAGACCCCAGAGCGGTTCTGCTGAGACTCCCACAGGCAGCACCATCCGCACCCCATGGAGGGGTGGGTGGTGATTTGGGACTTGGGGTCTCTGCTTCTGCCCTTTATTTGCACATGGGAGGATGTGTCATTTTTGGAGTGTTAGGGAAACACGATTTTTGGAAATCGTTGTCTCTAGTGACACCGATTCTCTAGAAATCTTTCACGTGAAGGGACTTCTTGCTTTGCCTTTGGTTGGGCAGAGGCATGGCCCTATTTAGAGCAGACCCTTAACAGTTGGGGTTCCTGGGTACCCTCAGTCCTGCGCTAATTGCTAATTAAGGTGTTTTCAATATTAGGGAACCACTTCCAGGAACAGCCCCATTCCTAAGGGAGCTGATCCTGGTGTTTCGCTTGCCTCAGGCGGTTTCCATGAACAGAGGGAGAAGCACCATGAAGTCATGGGTGCTCGGAACACATGATGTTGACTCCTGGGTGCTGAGCTCTGGTGCATCGAAATGCCTGTGTGAGGTTCCCTGTAGATGAAACATTGACGTGCACCTGCTACCCACTGTGGTAGACCCAGGGCCTCCGGGGCCCACAGCTGGGTGCTTCCCCCAGGGGTTGCTGAGGCTGATGGGTGACAGCCAGGCAGTTGCCCTTTTCCCTGGTGCTGGGTGATCTGTGCTGAGCCAGTGCAGGACAGGTTTGACCTTGGCGGGGGGTAGGGGGGGGTAGTGAGGGGGGCGGAAGGCCTAGAGGGCTTGGGTGGGACTAGGGCTCCCAGGGCATGTAAAAGGGGCCTCAGAGCAGGCAGCCCCACCCTCCCTGACTGCAGCACCATGGCCTTGCTCTGGCTTCTCTCCTGCTTCATCCTTGTTGCGTCCTCCCCTGGTGAGTATTAGGGTCTGGACTGGGAGGAGACAGTAAGGAGGACTCTGAGCCCCCAGTGGCCCCACATCAATTTCTCCCCAGAGTTTAGATTGGGTCTTTTGGGGTGAGCCCTGTAGTTCAGCCAAGAGGTGATTTGAGCCTCTCTCCTGCCCACCTGGCCTCAGTGCAGAGAGTGACCCTAACTTTGCAGGAGGAGATCGGCCCTTCTGGGCTTTCTGAGCCCACACGGTGGAGCCAGGGGTCGGGCAGAACCTTGTGGGCCTCAGAGGATGGAGCCCAGGAAGTGGCTCAGGTTTGGCCCAGAGGGTCAGTAAGGGGGTGGCCACTACACATCCTAAGCCCTCCTCTCTGGATTCTATTTAGTGCTGGGCTGCTGGGCCCTCAGTAAATAGTTGGTTACAAAACAAACAGAATTAGCACCATGTCCTGTATCTGTGCTCGGGAGTTTGAAATGTTACCTTTGCCATTTTTGCTTTGGGGATTCTCTGACACCCACACTGGGCTCAGCAGCTCCCTGCTCCCCCCGCTTACCTGGGAAGGGGCCTCTGCTGAACCCCTGCCTGTCACTTCTGTGCAGCTTCACACACTCACTCCCTGTGTATAACCCACAACCAGGGCTCAGTGGGGGAAGCTCCTCCCTGTATTTCCTGCCCGTCCCTGTCACACCTGCTGGCCCCGCTCCTGTAAGATTTCAGCTCCTCCAGCACAGGGGACCCAGCCCCCCACTCCATTGCTATGAAGCCTCTGCAGGGTGAGGCCCTCACAGGTCCTGCTAGTGGTTTTTCTGTTCTGATAAGAAAAGATGAGGAGACGACATGTTTGGAGACACCAGCCTGAGGGAGTGGCCGGGCCATGTCCCTGTCCCCAGAGGCAGGGGCAGGAGCTGCCTGGACAAGGCCTGGGGCACCCTGGGGACAGCCTGGCTGGTGGGAGGGGCTGGGCATGCCCCCCTTTCTTCCTGTGGCCAAGTTCTCACACCCCTGGGAGCTGCTGAGGATCCTGACACAGGAAACGTGTCCTGCATCTGTCAGGGACCCTGAGTGTCCTCCTTGTTCTGGACAATCTCGTCTTCTGTTTTCTCTTTCCTCGACATAGCTTTCATGGTTGGGAGTGAAATCCTTCTTTTTAAATAATTAATGATGTCAGAGACGAAGGGTTTAGAATGTCTGGTAGCGTCTAGCCCTGGAAATGAGTTCATGTGACTTCCCTAAGCAAGTGTCCGAGGGCCCATGACTGGAGTTCTCTGTCTTCATTTCTCCACCTCTGGCCCACGCTGTCTCCTGGGGAGCATTGACTATGAGTGTTTAATCCTCATTTATTGAGGAAAATAAGCATGAGAGAGTCAGAGGGGGCTGAGTTCTCCAGGAAGAAAGTGGGGACAGGACCCTGATTCCTCAGCCTGTTTCTGCTCCTCTGGGCAGGGTGACCCAGATGGAGCTGCCTGGCCCTCTGCATGCCTGGGAGGGTGTGTGTGTTCCAGTCGGATGCAGGGGTGCCAGGAGGGGGGAGTGTGGGCGTGGTGCTTTGCTGGCAACTCAGTTTCAGGAGACTGATTAGACAAACATCTCACCCTCCTGCTGTCACCCCCAGGCTTTGGAGCCCCTGCCAGCAAACCGGAGCTGAGCATTGTACCCAGGATCATGAATGGGACAGACACTCCTCCTGTCTACTCACCATGGCTTGTGGCTGTGATGGTGAGGGGAGTCTGCCCCTGAGTGGGACATTCCTGCCCCTGAGGTGGTGGGGCTCTTCTCCATGGGTGTGACTGTTGTCAGGTCACCTTTACTGACCTTCTCTCCACAGACTGCCACTAAGATCCAGCACTGTTGGGGCGTCCTGGTCAACAAGAACTGGGTGATCACCACTGCCCACTGCTATGTCCCGTGAGGCCCAGGATGGTAGTCGGGACAAGGGAGGGGGAGTGGTCTCCTTAATTTTTACCAGACTGCTTCCTCTAGGACATCTGACTTGGTTGTGACTGGGCTGTATCACCCACGCTCGCGTAAGAAAGACATCCAGATTCTGAGGATTGCCCAGGTACGCCAGACCCCGCTGGGCATGCCCGGAAGCCTCTGTAGAGGCTTTGGGGGCGGCATCAGAGGAGGAGACCCTTCAGCTATAGAGACTGGATCTCCAAATTGGCCTGATATAGATCCCCTGAAGAGGCCACACCGATTTCATTTGTCTCATCTCCTGCTGGTTCTCTCTCAGGTTTTTCTACACCCCCAACTGAATCAGAGTGCTACTGGCAATCACGTCACTCTGCTGAAGCTGGCAAGCCCTGCCCGCTTTACCAAGACAGTATCCCCAGCATCGCTGCCCACAGCTTCCGACCACTTCCGTCCTGGGCACCTGTGTCTCACCATGGGCTTGGGGCTCCCCCACCCTAGTGGTGAGTGACTCGACTTTGCGCTCAGGACATGGGTCTAGTGTTGGACAACTGAAGGGTGGGAACAACCCATAGGGCTCAGCTTTGGCTTTGTCCAAATTTGAGCAGGGCCATGAATGTGCACCCTCTTAATGAAAACCTAGTAGTTACTGCAGACACACCTGTGCGCTGGTCCTGATGCCCTCCATGCCTAAGTTTTTTGCTTTAGCTTCCTACTAAATTTCCCTGGGGGTCAGGTCCAGGAAACACTGAGCCTCTGAGTCTCCAAGCTGGTGTCCTCTCCCCGAGGCTGGACCGACTCAGCATCCTGAGTCCTTCTGCCCGGGCCAGGGCTACCTGGCTGGTCCTTCCCCAGAACAGCAATCCCAGTAAGACATT